CTACCTGTTTGGCACTGGTGCCAGCAGCTTCAGTGTCCGACTCGCCAGTCATTTCTCCTAAATTGAATTTCCTCACTCAACTTACGCAGAGATTCAGTTGACGAGAACTTTACCTTCGTCGTCACCCTTCCCTTTGCCAGCATTGTTTAAATGGGCAAGCGAGCGATGCATATCAAATGTCCCCGAGATTGGATTTATATAGAATGTGTCTGAAACATTTTGCGATAGCATACTCCATACAGCTCGTAGCGGCATCCATTATAACATAAAAACTTCATTCACGTTATTTCATTAACACATTCGTGTTCCATAGCTACAAGAGCGGATGTGGCACAGTGGCATGGGGCGCACCACCACACTCTCAAAGTGCGAAGATCTGATCTCGGATCGATACACGTCAAACAGACCTCTCATCCTTCCGGGATAGGTTTATTGGTACGGGACTCGTCCGTATCCGATTTGAAAATGCGAGACAAAGCTGACTACAAGCCTACTCACCTCCTCTGAAATAACCGACTGCGAACTGGACAAAGTCATCTTTCACATAGGCTCTTCCTTCGTAAACCTCATCGAACTTTGAATGAGCTCTGAATTATTGGGGTCATGTAAATAAAACACTCTCAGATGCTGAAATGAAGAAATGGAGATCGTCAGAGGAGCTGCACTCATTTAGCCTTCACCTTGGCAGCGTTTACTTACATGACATTTTCAGATTTAACATTTGCGGCAGCCATGGCGGCAAAACGCTCAGCTTTCGCCTTATCAAACGAACCAGTGGACATGTCCGGAGTCAAGCGAACCTCCATCTGAAGAAACAAGACATAACAGCCTAGAAGGACTACATTTCTTTAAAATTATCCTTGATCAGAAGAAAGTGCTAACCATTCGAACATTTTTCTTGTACCGAACACGAGGCTGCCTCTCAGCCTCAAAAGCGTCTCGCTTCCTCATCGGAAAATGGACTCGGTATAGCTCAGTGTTGGGCAGTTCATTGCATACCACAACGTTGAACTAAAACCACAACAGATCAATAAATTGCAATTACTCGTACTGTACTGTATACTGAATTTCGCGGCAGAATAAAAAAAGCTGTTCTGTGTAGTATTTGTGCCAGGCACAAAAAAGAGCGATAGTCCAGGCCACAGCTTTTGCTTACCACTACCGATTTCAACGAGAGCTTGATATATCCCTGCAATTATGTGGTCCTACAGTGACTCGAAACAGATCGGATTGGTAACGCCAAGTAGAGGATTACATGAAGAGAGGCGCTGATCTCTCTCTCTCTCTCTTATTATGTCTTCCTAGTCATCAGCTATCATCTCACTCCTTTTTCCGATAGACGTCCTGTTTGATATCAAAAGTTTATTGCACACACCTCAATATCTTCTTTTTCATCTTCATCGTCCGACTCCACTCTTTTCACTTTCTGCGTCTTTCTCTTCTTCACAACGATGTCATCATCGTCGTCCATATCGGAGGCGCTTGATTCTGAAGAGGGCCAAATTTTTGAAGCCCTCTACGAGGATCAACCTCTGGAAAGGCTTCCTGTAGATAGAAGCATGGAAAACATACTCTTAAAATCGGAGAAATGAACTCATTAAGTAGAGAACAAGAAAAAAGTATGCAAGACGGACAGTTATTAGTAGTACACCCAAAAGTTCACGGCCGCAGAAAACTTTTTCCGCTACGCCTAAAAGTTGTGTCTGCCATTACACACAAACTTTTCTTCGCACGTCAGCAAAAAGCGGTTCTCGAGGTTTCCCATTTTACGTTTATTCTATTCATTATTCGTGCTGTAGGGATAATCATGCCTCGCTGAATGTTAGCTTTGTTCCTAAAGTAGAGACTGTTTATTTGGGACTTCTTAACAAAAAACTTCCACGTAGCCAACCTTAAATAAACGCTCCAATAAATTGTATTTTAATGCTGTCCTTCATATTCGGTGTATTCAGACACTTTCCTGGATGGTCCGGCAGTCTTCGCTTGTCCGAATCGCATCTTCCGTGGCTAAACTTAGCCAGAAAACTGGCTTTGGCCCCAATCGCCTCTACAGAAAAGGAGTTCACTTCGTAGGAACTGAACCTGACGCTTTGAAATATCATTTGGTGAGTCTCTTTCTCGTTTAGCCCCTCAATTAGCCGTTTTTGGAGTTCGATTTTTTCAGTTGCAAGACAAGAAGCCAGGCGAGCCATACGGATTGCAAGGAGTAAACCATTTACTTCCAGGCACTGGCAAAGTTCACTCAAAGTTACCTGTAAAAGTGGGTTCTTTCGATTTTTTATATGTTATTAATTTTGTTCGTCCTTCTTAAAATAACGCTTATTAATTTACAGGTCCGGATGAAAAAAGACAAGGTGTACGCCTGGTGTAGTTGCGGCTACAGTGGGAATCAGGTCTGCTATCTATGTTGCTCATCAGCTTTTTAATTTTCAGTAGAGCTACTCCCATTTTAAAAAGCACCCTTTGATGTTTTGTGACGAAGATTGATTTTTCGGCCCGTTTTCCGAGATATTTATGCAACCATGAGGTTCACTTTCGAGTGCAAAATTCGAGAATCAAGTTTTATTTCAAAACTCTCAGTTTTCCTTCATCCGCATCTTCGATATCGAAGTGAATTTTGCAATATCAAGTACCCAATTTTGTAGTATCTAAGGTCTTGAACGACGGGACGAATTGTCCTTAGTATTAGTATAAGAGCAATGCTTCTGCTTCTGCTTCACTACATCCCCATAGCAGGTTATATTTCTTCGAATTTCACGACGCCCTCCCTGAAAAGCAGACACCCATGAAAGGTAGCCAGCTTCGGGGATGTTGTAAGACAAAGGTCTTCAAATAAAGACTCTGTTTTCTGTTTTCTCTTGAGAATCCTTTGTGTACTTCTGTCTGAAACCTTGCAGTAGCAATTTTACGGTCAACTATCTTCCGCTTTTGCGTGCCCGAAAAGGCATAAGCGTCACAAGCGCTTTTAGAATGTTGAGGATCTGCGTTTTGATGGTTAATTTGCCTTTGCTATTTTCATTGAACAAACGAGTATTTGTTTCATTTCAGCCTCTTTGTGATGGAACTCACAACTCTATTCGAGTTCCTGACTTGAAACTCAAGCCGGTACGGTTCATTCCTGATGAAGAAATCACAGTATGGCTGTGTAATTGCAAGCAGACGAAAAATAGGTATGTATATCTGTTTCTCTGATTACAATAAATGCTCACCATGATTGATGTTATTCAGGCCGTTTTGCGATGGATCTCACAAGAATATAGTGGATGAGGACAAGAAAGCCGGCCTCTTCGACTAGAAGATATAATATGTATGAATAGGTTTTGTTTAGTACTCAGGAACATATTGTTATGTTTGGAATGTATAGTCTGTCACAGAAATAAATATGGCTACAGCGTAGCTTCTAATTGTGTTTTCTGGTATTGATTAGTTCAGCGGGTAGGAGTTTAGGTCCGAAAAGACGGGAAAATAAAAAGTACTGCTTTTTAGAGGTTCAATTAATGAATCAAGAGAAAATCCTGTAGGTTCTCGACTTGTCTAGTCATAAAAGCACCGCGGTGGTGTTACATTGTGTAACGTCTCCTTCATTCGCCATATTGTTAGCCAAATGGTCTATGAACAGCCCGAAGCTTTGATTCGATTTTGTGTGGAAATCATCGAATCGTAAACGTAGCTAATTACTCTCCAAAGCGTTCCTTCCAACTTTCCGCTGTCAGAACGCTGGAAAACAAAAAAACCAAGCAATAAACAACAAGACAATATGAAGGTAATGAACTCTTTAACAGCGCTGTTGGTCAGTTGTTGTTGTCCCTGTTTGCCTCAAATGTGTGAGATTTACTACGACGGTTGAGAGTTCCATTCAGCGTTTCAGCCATCAATCAGATAATTGAGTCTGGAAATTTGGATTGGCTCGATATTCAATGAACTGGAGGAGGATTTCAAAAGAGCCGATTTTTCCAATATTGGAACATTCGTCCTCAATTCGATTTTCTATGGAGCGTTCTGAATAATTATTCTCAGCCTGAGCAGCATCGTAGCTCATTTTGAAACCAACAAAATTGAATTCATCCTTGTCCACTTGGAATTTCTCAGGAATGCGAAATGTCCATGTAGTTGGATATGTGAACCTACAGCACGTCGACTTTTCTTCTTAGGTTTTTTACAGCCTACTTACAAAACCGTGATTGGTAGCGAAGGCGCTCGTCCGGAGGCTCCAGCGGAACTGATCGCAGACTGACGAAAATGGTTGCTTTCAGTGTTCGAAGATGTAAGTTGTTTCAAGCTACTGAACGACCACGGTGCTGGTCACGCGTTGACAACGCAGGACAGATTACGTCTAGGGCCGCAGGAGCGGTATCGATCAGTGACCAGCGTTGTTAACGCGTGGCCAGCAACGCGATCGGTAGGCCTGTCGCCAGTCAAACGCACGTCGTTGGATCCTGAAAGCACATTATCGGTAATGGTTCATTCACGAGTGCTCGATCTCAGTCTTGTATGGTCCCTTTTTAGGGTCACAATAGTAAGGACACTGATGGAGCGAGTTGGTCGGGTCCCATCGGCCGAAACTAAGAAAGATGAAGGATAACGCGCAACGATTTTCAGAAAAGGATGAATAAGACCAGCTAGTATCAAGAGGTTGCTGAACGATGTGCAAAAGTTTGCCTTTGGAAAGAACTTGGATCCGTTCTCATTAATATGACTACCTATGCAGAGAAATAAATAAATAAATAAGACCACCTATGACCATATTCACGAAACTATGAAACAGCGCATGAAAAATTAGAGAAAAAGTTCTTTGCATCCTCGTTGTGCAAAATTCCAGTGAATATCAAGAAACTGACCCTGTAAGATGTTAGGTTTCCAAAGTCTGGGCGCTTTAGAAACTGTTCAAGAGTGATTCCTACAAGGAAGCATAATTATGACTTCCTAAGATTGAGAGTTTGGCAAGGGCTGGAACTAGTTCGAGTCCAGCCAGATATCGATGTTTTGCTTACAACACATCAGCGATGTAATAACTTTCGGATCGCGAAAAGTAAGAATTAAATAAAAAACAACAAGCCAGTCCAACTGGCGCATATCTTTTTCATCGAAGTTCAGCCAAAGACCGTTCAGAGGACGCTTTGCCAGCTGCAAACTGAGCATGCTTCCAGGTGAAGTACAGCTTCGCCTACGATCAGTTCGGAGTCACAGAATAGCTGAGTACAATTTGTTAAAGGATTAATGATAAAATTTTTGGTCTTTATCAATTCTGTTTTGGGATACGCCATGCATTCGAGTTCCATTTAAAACCTTGGTGGCACATTGAATGCATATGTGACCTACACAATGACTTGGCCAGCTCCTCTTCAAGTCAGCAGTTTTATTCTTTTAGACGAGTATGATACCAATTAGCCAACCTAAGTGGGATGAACGGCTTTGTTGGCTCAGGAGAGATTCGATCCGGGATTCAAACGGCAGACTATGATTGTGTGATAGCGAGCCATTTGCGGCTACACAACCACCTCGTGTACTATTTGTTAGAGTCTAATTTTGACGAATTTCGCTTTCCTAAACCCGGTTTGTTATTAGATCAAGATACCTTATGTGATACTAAGACTGAGCCTAAACTACCATTGAAATATTCATGCAAGCATGGAGACTGTAGGTAGTTGGAGTACAGTAAACAGTGAATCTAGAACATTGCGGTAGTATTCCCCCTCCATTACAGCAAGCGCTAGCTACATCTTTACAGTGAGATGAATCGTTGATGCTTCTCGTCAAACTAGATTATTTAAAAAATAAAATGGAAATTTGTAAATTGGTACAATTAGTAAAGTTTTTGGGAATGTTGGAGTCATTACGGTTGAGAAGCAAGACCAAAGGCGGAACTGCTTTTAACGGAAACCGAAAGGTCTACAACTGTCTAGTCACCGTAGGCCTTTTGTAAACTGAGCTCTTGCAAATGACAGCTTTCGTTATGATGTTTGATTTACTCTTTGGTCGAGATCGCTGTGTAAAGTATCGCTTGAAGTCGGTTCTACTCACTGAGTCTTCAATCACTTTTCTCTCTGTAGCCCTTCGACAGCACTTCTGGAACCTACTTGAACGCCGTATTTACTTTTTTAATTCCTCGTATCATGTCGGCTCCTCTCACAAATCTTGGTTGCCAGTTGGAGTGGCCATGGGATAGGGAACGTGTACGCCACGAGACAGCACGTGGGGTTGATAAGAATTGATCGCTCAGCAATCACTTTCTGATTTTAAAAACGACGTCCATTTTGCAAGATTTATAATCCTTTCCCTATCCTTTGCATCCCATATCTTCAGTTCTGCAATGGTTGGGTAATTCCCATTTGAAAAATGTCTGGTAACAATCACTCGGGGACCCTTAGTTCTGCCTGGGTTCACCACTCGGCTTGTTGGGCAACTGAACACTGGAGCATAGCAAAGTAGTGTTAACGTAGCGATAAGAACAACATATGATAATTTTTTATTGAATTTTGCCAATTGATTTTTCTGATCGGGAAAAAGTGGGTTTTTATTTTGTGTGAAAAAATGGCTGTATAACAGAAAGGATTTCCAGATGGGATAGATGAGAAAGATAGAAATAAAGCGAGAACCCGGTTGTAAAACGAAAAAAAATGATTTTGAAGGATTACTGTCACAGATGTGGTATGACTTATTTACATCTAAAAGATGGATGATCGTGTTTTCCCCCTGAGCCCCCATGGAGTGAACTGAACTAAAGTTTCCTATTTTTCATAAATAATATTTGTAAATCGAAAATACCCAAATGAATTGGATCTCTCTAATAAAATTTAGAATAATGTTTTTTTTTNTTTTTTTTTCACGCAAATTTTTTTTGAAGGCGAAATTCCACAAATCTCTCGATTTTGTCGTACCGCCCGTGAAATCAGCCTCTCAACCCTCTCTGTTTACTTATCACCCTCTCATCGAGTTGTGCGAATAATCAAATCCCCCTGAAAATTGGTCAAAAATTTGATCGTTGACATTTGTCAGAGCGTAAATCATGTCTCAAGAAACGTTATGCGTGCTTTCGGGGTTTTCTGCCAGCAGCTGTTCAGTCTGTGAGGATCCTCGAAATCCTCGGTTGCAGCTATCACCTTACGTTCAACCATTTCCGCTTTTCCCTGGTAATATTTCCCCAAATCAATTCCCAAATTTCAGTATGCGGGTTTGGATAGCTTCGTTAGTATTCTATGGATTCGTATTTGCTGTATGCGAGCTATTACGATATTTTATTGTCCGTTTTATGTCAAAACGTCTATCGACTGATCTATTGCTAGAGGTAATCGTTGGATTTTTACAAAATACTTTTTCAAAGTGAATATCAACTATGAAAAATTAGCAAAATTGATCCTTGCGTAACTGTTAATCTCTGATTACGACTTATGGATTTTCGACTTCTTTTTTAAAATTTACTATGGTAAATGTCGCGTGGTGGTAGGTGGCGCACTGTCAAACCTGCGTGGTCCAGGGACCGAACCTTGGATCAATACTCGCCCTGCCTAACCGAGCCTTCCTTCCCTCAAAGGTCGGATAATTGGTACCAGATCTATCTGGGCGCTGAAGTGAACATCGGCTGGCTACCGCAGGCTATAGTGTGAACACTACCCATTCTAACCGCCTCTACGATTCGGATGGAAGTAGAATACATGGCACATCCTAAAACAGTGCTGATCAGCATTTTATCCGCTATCCCTTTCCAAAAAAAATTTCAAAAATCAAAAAATTACTTATGCAAACACTAAGTCCATGAAGAACTTGGACTGTTGAAAAAATTTCAAAGGATTTTGAAGATTTATTTCATTCAGTTCGTCGGTACTCTCCAAATATGTACGCCTATGTTTGACGTGGGCACTGTTCTCGAAACCTACGGTCTGTTCGGCATTTTCGTCGAAATTACCGTCATCGAACTTGCAAATACGTATTTCCAACGGGATGCTATTGCAAATCCATGTCCTATTGTAAGTTCGATACCTCTTCGTTCCATTTCGTGAGCCTTAGTAGGTTATTGCGAATTGATCCAGGTAACTTCATGTTATCGCCGTTCGAAAGCCTTCCGACGAGCCATATATGTACTTCTCACTCAAATGTTGGCTGGCTACCTCTCGTTCCATCTTGCAAGAGCTTTCTGGCGACTTAACATTCACCCCGTGCATGCTGAACTTCTTGCTGCTGAACACTGCACGGCCGATTTGACGGTTAGAAAGAAAACCCGCCGGCCTCGTTGCTGGAGCGACTTTTTACTTTGATTTCGATTTCTTAAGATGCATTTTCATTCACCAATCCTAGAAGTTTTCACTTTATAGATTGCTATAACCACGGGTTGCCTCGTAGAAGGTGGAGCGACTTTCCTGGGTGAGTACGGTGGTTTATCTATGAGATTTTTTTTTNTTTTTTTTTGATAAAATAAGATAAAATGACGAATCCTTCAAAAAGGCCGAAAACATCATTATTCACCCTGTAATGCGAACAGCTCCGAAGGGAACCTGTAGAGCGACAAAAACGCAGTCATCGAGGAACAATCGTAGTACCGTCTCTCTGAAAGTGTTCTATGGTGTTTGACTAAGGCCAGTCAGGGGTCCTTCACGGTGCCGTCAGTTGTAATACACTGAAACATCGAAATGCTGACCACTACCATCCCTAGAACCGAAATTGCCCCGCTTTCATTTCGTCCCTAACCGGGCCACGAACTAGGGATAAGCGCAGACGAATAGCAGTAGAACCTTGCACTGTTCCTTTGCGTGGCAGCCTCTTGAACTACCAGATGTAATAATAGTGATAACTAATATGGTGCTGACGAAGAGTACCTTACATGGGTATGCTTCTGTCCATCAGAAACCTTCGTCCTTTGCAAGATACCAAAAAGTTTTCCCAAAAAGTGCAACGGGTGAGAGCAAAAATGGAAAGGGCTACTTCTTTCCGCACCTTTCTCTGCAATTTCTTACTCACTTTTGCCCGATTCCTCATTCATTGCAATTTGGTGGTCGTTTTGCCACACACCCCAGTCTCCCCCTCTCCTCAGGCCTAGACAAAAAAAAAACATGATCTGCGCTCTAGCTCTTCTTGTTAGATACACAGAGCAGTTTAGTTTTCAGGTACGGAGTGTTTGATGACTTTGAAGGGAAAAGTTTTTCATCTGCAGGTAAAGCCTTCAATAAATACGTCGGCGACTACATCGACGATTACTGGACGTGTAACTTCGTCGCTTGTGTTTTCAGTGGATTTATCTGCGCCCTTGGTGAGTTTTGCATTTCCTATCTTTTGGGTTAGCGATAGAAGCTTTAGAACAGAAGAAATACTCAATCAAATACATAACAGTAAGGCATACTAAAAGATCTGGCTGGCAGAGCACTTCTGACAAGGTCTCAGGCAGTTAGAATCAGCGAAAGGAAAGTAGTGAAGCATTGGATGTAGATAACAGAGGAGAATCTTCTGTGATCATGAAGAGTGTGTAAACAGAAGGACTCCAGGGTACTGCTGTGAAGAGAAAGACCTCATACTCCCATCAGTTAACGAGAGTTCTCTTTTGCATCTCCCACGTTTTTTACGGAGATGAGTTTCAGGTATAAAGTACACGGGAATGTACGCGAATCCACTGGTTGCTTGGGCCTGCACTTTCAACTGCGAAGGATTGACTCACGCCGGTCATCTAATGGTCTACTGGCTAAGCCCTCTAATAGGATGGTGAGCTCCATCTTACGGGTGTTCCTTTTCGATTGCAAGGTTAAGAGAAATTCTTTTCAAGGTACCTGGCTGAGATGGCTTTCGAAGACGAGCCCGGAGATGAAGGAGAGAGGGAAAAGAAAGAGTAGCTCAAAGAAATCAAATGGATGACAATGCTGGAGATACGATTACTGCGTATGTACATAGATAGTAGGCCAATGTTGCCGCCAAGAAATACGGAAAGATCTCTTCTACCTAAGCGGAACTTCACATGTAATCATGGGAGATCTGGATCTTTGTTTGCCTTGAGAAAGATCGAATCAGTGATGGACCATGAATATTTTGTGGATTTTTCGTTTTTTGTTCCGACCATCAACCATTGCTCTGTTTCCGGTGCACAAACAACGGCCACAGAAATGTGTTTTGAAAATGCCCGAAAATAAAACCCAGGAAAGCTTGTTAAAGTACACCTTAAGCTAACAAGGCCCTACTTCATTCACTGAGTTACAACATACAAACACTACTGCGATTCTGAATCATATCATAAAACCAGTCGGCTCGCCCGGCTGACGCCGGGCTCCCCTCCTTCCCGTGTTAAAATGGCTTCTCCGCCTGCACCCCTACCAAATTTGAACGCTCTAGGTCCAAATGTAAGTTATTCACACAAAACCGGAGTCCAGTCCTGCCACCCACCGTAAGTGTTCCCATCCTGCCGCTTGTACTATGTACTACCAAGTTCGAACTTTCTAGGTACACGGGTACAGGAGCTATGATTTTCCAAGATGTTTTCATAAAGCATTGCATTTTTGGAGAACCCCCCGCCCATCGGTGGTGGGTCTCCCCAGTTCGATCTAACTTACCAATGCACACCTCTAGCCACCTTTTTACACCCCAGTTTCGAAGCCGTCTTGTGACTGAATTTGAAATCATGGTTCACAGTACAGCTCATTTCGATGCACGCCACGCCCACTGTGGGCGGGGTTCTATCAGGCTGATGTGTGCTTAATACTTTCCGGGACATGGCCAACCCATCCCACGCTTGACCCGGTCTCTCCAGGCAGATCTAAAGGAATTTCGTGACAGACATACAGGCAGAACGACGGACAGAACGACAGACAGACGACAGACGAAACGCTTTATAATAAGTAGGATATTGGTGAGTATGAAGTGAAATGTAGTTGGGCAAAAACGGCCACCTCTCCCTCTCAGCGCTCTAGCGCTTGATGTTAGAGATGAAGGATGGCCGCCAACCCCATCTTCACATGGGATAAAATTCAAAATATTATTGCCAAAAGAAGGGTCAGTTTTTGGAGCTTGTGGTCAGATTCTAGCATAAAGGTAAGAGTCGGATGCGGTAATTCAATACGAAAATGAATTATTCATCGAGAAATGGAGGCACAACAGAACCGAAGAAAATGGAAATCTCGAACATTGATGTGTTGCGCTCACGACTGAACATTCAAATCACAGATGAAAATATCCAAAAATTAGGAGAGCGATATGAAATATGTATCTAATCGTTAAAAGTCATACAGTGTATAAACACACTAGTTTGAATGAAGAATGAAGAAATGGTAACTCATAGAATGATTTCCACACTCGTCGAGCTTGATAGCATGGGAGGCCCCGTGCAATATCGAGTTTTTCGAGATCAAAAGAAGCAATCGGTCCGAGGGAAAAGTGGGATTTGACAATCAAACGGGTAACCGATATGTACGATAGAATATCGGTCAAATTACTTGTAGGAACAAAGTTTTGGAGTTTTTGGAATAAAAGAGGACATGGCTGCATCCAGGAAAACTGCAGTACCGAAGAACATCACGAACAAATACATCACAATATCTAATTTGAGATTAGACGTAATCCTATGTAGGCCTATAGGGCACTTTTAAGGGCACAGAAATTTTGAGTAAAAATATTCGAGGTCTATAAAGGAGCTCGAAAATAGTGATCCCGTTTTGTCTAAACAAATACACAAAAGCAATGGCAAGTGGGTAAGAAAAGATATTCCCCTGGAAGCTCCCTGGAACTAAAATCTATTAAGAAACCAGATTCACTAGTGATGGGCTGATGCAACGAGGATTGAGGGGCTTTGAAAACTCAGAAACAGTAAAAGGATTGCTTTCCATAGGGATCGTACAATGGTCGATCCACACATGACGAGTTTTTGTCTTGGCCACTGTTATCATGGACTCCAGGTACCTGAAGAGATATGAAAAGATTGGCTTTTCAAAGGCGATTTATAGGCACAATTAATTATTATGGTCACATACAGGAAACGCCACACTCTGGTTCGATTCCCAATCGAGCGGAGAATTCTGGTAGAAATGTCTCTGACCCAAATCGTGCTCCTGAAATATGAAGACTGAAATCATTTCAAAGCAATGCTCAGATTCCCAAACAATTCAAATCCAAACCGATCACCGATTTCCAATCAAATCGTGCCCCCTTCAATGATACCCAGAGGAGATAAAAGAACAAGTCATGTCAGAAGTGATTTCAGGGAATACATGAGCCCCGCTGAATGAAGTACCTCGAGAACGATTGCTGCAAACTCAGCCCAAACCACAACTTTTCTTCTATAGACCTTTCGAAATTTCTGCTGCTTTTGACTCATGTTTTACAGATATTTTCTAGTCCACCATCAATATTACAAAGGAGACTGTTGCGTTTGAGCGTCACCACTTCCTTTTTCCAGTTTCGACGAGATTCAATGTCCTGTTGTTCCCTGATTACAGTACCCCCCATGAGACCACTTCGGTCAAAATTGGTATCACTACTTTACTAGTTTCAGCAACAATTGACGCGAATAAAAAAAACATCGGAATCCTTACCACTTCACGGATTATGCGACCATACGGAGGTGTCGAGTAGAAGCTTGAATCCTGCTCCCGATAGGCGTCACATAAATGATAGGAGAGTATTTGTAACGGACGAGGCATGCAGGGCTCCTTAATGAAACGGCATAGAAATTCTTTTTTCATTCACAACTATCAGAGTGTTTAAAAGGCCTGACGACTTTGAATGCACTCTCTAAGAGAAAGGCCTAGTAGAAAGTATATTTCTTCACTTTTATATTCCCTTAGTCGGATCTTGCGCTTAGAAAAATGGAATTAGTCGGAAAATCGAAAAAAAATGCACCATGGCCTATGCCATTGTGACCCGCCTAACCTATAGAAACAGTTCATCCATGAAAAAATGTACTGCGAAACCTGAAGAACTGCAGAATGCTGAACTGACTACACCGATCTTCGAGAAAAATTCAAAGGACAGGAAAAAAAGAAGCCGCTTGCTACAGGTTTCTAGGTCACGGGAGTGAGCTGTTTCCAGGATCCCTCACGTCTGTCGAGCCCTAGGAAGTAGAAAGGGTGCTAAGAATAAGTGAAAGTTCAAGTCCCAAAAGAGATCACGAAAGAAGCAGAAAGTCTTCTCACCTCTCCATACTGAAGTTTATTAAATTCATAGTTGGTCTTCATTTCGGCCACCTTGTTTTTGTCAGTCACAAATCGCCAAGGTAATGCACCGACCATGTTTTCAATTGCAATGTAGTAAACCGACCATAAGTCATCCCATCGGCATTGATCCTCAAAATGGACAGCATATATCAGCTGGTAAACTATTGAATCCATTCGTGATGCCTATTAGCAGTAGGAAGGAGCTCAACAAATTTTCTTATTCTTATTTTCTTTTACCTCCTTTTTCTCCAATTTACCCTTCAACTTTCCTTTTTTTCTGTGGATTAGGCTCTACTCAACGTCTCACATATATCTGCAGTACGATCGAAATGAGACTATAATCAAGATTCTATGAGAAAAGAGACGTTAGACAGCTGGAAGCAACCGTGAACTTCCGTATCTGCCAAAGGTGACTGAATCCTCCTCTATCCTGAGAACTCCTTTTTTGTCTATTTCTTTGGGTGACTGGGTTTGAAAACCCGTGGCTTAGACCTCCTAAACTTAAAGCCGTCAAACCTAGTGGGCGATTCACCCGACTGGGTCAATAGTTTGGTCTGCACAAGACATTCTGCGGTCGAATAACCAAATGCATCTTCAACCCGCAATAGGGGTCAAGAGCATGGCGCACCCCCCGATCATTGATAATGGACAAATGACACGCTCTCTGACGAAATAAAAAAATATGTTTGCAATGACGATTGCATTTCTCGGGCGTACGGCTAATCTTAAGCCTCTCTATCTCTGCGATCCAATCAGGCAAAGTGTTGAATAAACTCGAGCTCCATCTTTGTGATCCCCGCTGGATTACGGTGAGCCCTTTTGGTTTCTAAACGGTAGATAGAGCAGCGTCAATATGAATCTTCCATGAATGCCCCATTCGCTTCGGCAGTAAGGAAAATGGTGTATCACTGACTTGTCGATTGTGCGTATTCAATGATGCGTAACGAACGGTGCCATGGAAAGGACTGGATGGTTTTCTTGCTTTGTATGAGCCGTCAGTGTTTATGAAATACCTAAAAATGTCTGAGGGATTGATTATGCAGTCGAGTTCACTCAGAATTCTGAAGTTTCCAAAAAATAGGCTAAAATGGCGGGATTCCAGGTCTCACCTGCACATTCCAAAATCTATCAGGTACAACTTGTGAGTCTCACTTTCTCCTATGCAAAAGTTAGCGGGTTTGACATCTCTGAAATAAGTCGACCCCACATACAGTGTGAATTCTCGTTTGCTAAAAGATGGTTTCGAGAAAATCCATTCAAAAGGATCAAGAAAACCCAAAATCAGAATAACAAAAGCATGCTCCCTTCACTAGTCATGTAGAAAAACCCTCGTCTGGCACAAAGGCGGAACAGTGGAGCAAAAAAAAAAACAAAAAAATCTAGAAAAAATATTGGATCTCCTTCCCTCAAATTTCAACAGATATGAGTTTATCTCAAAGGTCTTAGGTTTCTACCACATAGTTTTAGCTTTAAGCTTACCTGTGCAACCACCCATGAGAATGAATGAATTGCAGTGCTGATATCATCCGTTCCATGATCCACAACGATGTAGTCGTACTGAAAGTTTTTGAATAAAAAATGGTTCGGGAATAGAAATTGAAGATTGCCTGCAGATATGAAAATTTTTATGTCCAACTACCTGGGGGAATTTTTCCCATTAAAAATTTTCATTCCAAAGACCTTGAACAGAAAGAAAATGAAGGTTGCGGGAGGGAAAAGTCACCTGAACTGATCTTTTGGAGTGGCTCGCTTCAACTCCCGTAAGTTTGCACCGCAGTGATCCATTACCTTAATATGCAGCTCTCGTTCTCTATGACTGAATTGCTGAGGGCTCTACAGAAACATCTGAGAACTAGGATTAGCAGCATAAAAATCTGTTACCAATGTTCCGAGCATAGCACACTACCCTAATATAATTGTATGATTGCTGGGCTTCACACGATGAACCAAAAAAAGATATCTACCGAAATAAGCTGGCTGTACTGTAACTTTTGAAGAAACTAACCAAATACTTGAGTTTTTCAGTATTTCCATAGGTAAGATAACGCAGAATAGGTTCACGAGGTGCATCACCACATGCATTGTACCGAGAATTCAAGAAATGCAAGCATGCTGCCTCGTTTCGCAGCAGAGGAATCTGAAAAGCAAAGCAGTGTACGGATGGCACAAGAGCGGGTTCGAGTCCCGTCCAAGGCCGAAGTTCTGTCCTGTCCGCATCAGAACAACCTTGTGAGACGAAATAAACAATTCTTTTGCCAGTCATCAACGAACATGAGTCACGAGAAGTCAAAATATCTTTCTTGGCCGGCTGGAAAGAAATGGTGTCGTGACAACTGGTGCACTATCACATAAGTGTGGTTCGAGAACCAAATCTCGGCTATGCAGTCGCAAAACCAGGCCTTCCAACCTTACTGGGTGGGTTAATTGACACCAGACACATCTGGAAGGATAAAAATGGACTTGTATATCGGCTGGCCACCGCAAGTCACAGGTAAAGGCTACATACCCATTGACTACGCCGCCACGATTCTGAACGAAAGTCGAATGTGGGGAGCATCCCAAGGAAGAGGAATGAACGAGACCAAAGATATTTATTCGTTTTTTGCCAGGCTCCATAATCAATAGAAACAGAAACAACTCCTTTTTCGCAAATTAGTTTGAATAAAAGGTCGAGGATGAAGGGTGGAGACCCCTACCCGTCTGAGGAAAACGCTTCGGAATTCAACTTCCATTCAGAATCATAGTGGCGTATTGAATGCGTAAGTGGCCGACACAATGTCTTGCGGTGGCCAGCCGATGTACAAGTCAGTGCTTTCCTCCAGTGGTGGTGACAGTCAACCAACCCCCGGTGTGTGTGGTAGTGCGCCATTTATCATACTACTACTGCCTTCTGAACAAACAATGGGATGTGTAAACAGGAGGTTAGATCAGATGACGCTTTAGCCTTTCACAGTCAAAGGCTAAAGCAAGAAACTTCGAAGTTCCTCGTTTCATAATAGTTTTCTCTCATTTAAACTAACGTATCTAATTCACTAATCAGATAATTTTTTTAGTAATGTAATATAGGTCTAATTAAGTAAGTTCATTAGCATGTTAAAATGTATGGATATCAGAATGGTAGGGGAAATTTGTTAGGATAAAGTCATGTAAAAGTTATAACTGAAAACTTACGGCCGCTGTAGTTGTTTCTACTTTGATCGCTACTCGCTTGCACGTCGCACGATGGAAACCACTGTACACCTACAAGCAAACAAATTTGATAAGCACATATGATTCATTTAAAAGGACTACGATATAGGAGGCCCAAAGCAAACGTCTGCACCCATAATTATCTCCCACGACAATTGGCAGGCTCGACTGAAGCTAAACCCACGAAGAGATTCGATGTCTTACAAGAGATAAAAGGCACAGTCATCCTGATAAATTCAGGTCAGAGCCACAGACCATGCGGATTTTGCCCTTTAGTGGGGTGCTACCCTGATCCATGACCTCCTTAGAGCAGATCTAGGTGATAATCTCCCAGCGAGCACTACTGAAGAGCTATGGAGGTACCGAAACATCAATCTCTGGTCTCATCCTGCTCATTGTCGAGGTTTTGTCGAAATTTGTACTGCTGTGCCGTACAAGTCTGCTACGAAGGAATCACTTTATTGTAGACCCTTCAAACAACCTTTACGTTCAGAAATCTGAAATTGTAAATCAAACAGGTCGGGCTCCCCTTGTTAGGGTGGTTTTAGACCTATGGTTGAGTGGATTACCATCAAATGCCGATGTAAACCCTCACCTGCCCAAATCCTCCGATACTGATAAGGCTGCCGACAACATAATCATCGATATGGTCACCATTTGATAACAAGTGTGGAACTTCCTGCTTATCGTCTTGGCTACGATTGGTCTAAAAAAACGAAAAATTATGAAATTGGGAAGTCGAACCGGACCCAGTTACATTGGTCCAGGGCCATTGACCCAATAGTGCCCTCTCGATACTTCGTGAGGTTTAAAATTTGACACAACATCTCTATTCGTTAAAAATTGGATTAAAAATTTTTAATGCCGTGATTAAGTGCTTTTCTCCCGAATGAATCCTTCCGTTCCATCAAAACAATGGGAAAAGGCGGTCAAGCGGGATCAGGACTCCATTACAAGTACATTACATAATGGATATTAAGAAGGACAGCCCTCCCCCGAGTAACACGTATCCCTGATTGTGTAGAAAATGGCTTGCGCAGTTCAGTAACGTGATCACATTGTCCTTGAGAACTCTCGTCAATCTCTTTCGAAAGACGGTCTTGCGAATGACGAAAAAAGTAGTGTTGTTTTCTACTGACAACAAAATAAGACACCACTCAACAGTGTCCAACGTTACATCAAACTTTTCTTCTGCCTGTCCAATATATCTACCTTTTAACCTCCCTCTCGCGCATTACACTTTAATTGAAAACTTACCAGTTCATGAAAAATCATCGGTAGCAGTAAAACGTTGCCCCATCCGTTCTCGGAACCAAACCTCGGTGGCCCCGTTTTCGGACTCACACACTCAGCTTTCGTTTACTTTTGCACTCATTTTTCGAGGCTCTTCCTTCATCGTGGTCTAATGTAGCAAAAAAAAAACAGGTCTAAAGCACTTAACCTCCTTCCCATGCCCTGTAGGTCGTCAATCTTGTAACCCTGCTGAACCTACCCCTCGAAAGCTGGGAACTCTTTGAATTTTCTCAACCTTGGAAATTTCTGACTACACGTTAAAAAATTTAACCGCTGCTTATGCATGTACAGTAGCGCTAAAAATTCTTCGGTGAATTGGTTCTTCAGCCTACTATTCAGTCGTAACTCCTTTCCTAATGGATCTAATAATGCGAAACTTCTATATTAGGAGCGTGGGTGTATTGTGAATATTTACCACTATTAATCTGCAGTCTGATCATGTTCCAGATATTCCAAAGAGCATGAAAATAAAATCGACTGAAAATGCAGATGATGACCCTCCTAGGATCTCTTTCCTTTTTGTCCNATATTCCGAGCGATAATGCCGAACACAGTAGATGAGAAAAACGCCCATAAGGTGCGAATAAGTGCAGACGTCAACAACTTTAGCACAGTTTTAGCAAAATCTGATACTGGAACAAACATCTTGCTTTATCTGTGGAAATTGCAGCTTCGCAGACAAATAGTGTTGGGTTGGGTGAAATATGCTCTAGTTAAACATATCCAAATTTTGCGCGATTTGGTTTACTAACAAAAAAGTTATGAACGGAAAAGCGCCAAGGCATTTCAGCGAAGACTTTTGAGCGCTACTGTATATCTACTTTTGGTTGCTTAGGTAGACGTGAATGCATCACAGATCCTTGCAGGTTCAGTCCTTAATCCCTACCATGCGCACGTTTCTCAGGGCCCTTCTGTTCGGTTCACAAGATCGAGTCGAGTTCAACACGTATCCAAGGAAAGTCCCTTGAAAGTACAAAAGCAAGCACTTTAACTAGGATAGTCCCCTGGATTACTGAAAAAGGACAGAATGAGAAGTTATTGGTCCCAACGTTCATAATACCACAAAGTACACAGTACAGCGGACGGGCAACACTTATATTGGAACCACGCAAGGCGATGGTTCACCCCCAAGCTGTGGTATTGTTCACTGCTGGGTAACCTGGGTAACCATGGAGCCAAGGACTCGAAAGCCGTTGCCAAGCCCATTATTATACCCATCATACGGATGAGAGCACTTCTCAACGGTTCCAATGCACATAGCTTAGTATCAGAATATATGGCCCTTAGTTGTCGATATGTATCAAAACCATTTCAGCTCATTCAACCCTCTCATGATACCCCAACCATGAACAATGCCCACGTGCAAAGGAGGTGTACCAGCATTGCAACCAAAGCTGAACTCCTTCAGAAACCATGCAGAAGTTTCACAACATCATAAAAGCTTTTATCGAGCGATCGCGCACGCCTGACCGACCTTCATTATCTACGGCTCATTGCTTCGCTGGGTGGCCACATTAAAACGTATTTGAAATGACAGGGCCAAAATATGTACCTGCTCACTGAGAGTCAGATTCAGGAGCTTTACCATAAAACAGTTTAGACGTCAATCCAATGTCCACCATACCGACTGCGTTGAAGCCGCTACGTAACTCTTTCGATCTGAGTGTTGCTCTCAACAATCGGCTCAAATGGAATTAAATATTTACCTGTGTGGTACAAGACTGTTTGGACGCGACCAAAAAGAACTACGAATACCCAATAGGCATGCTAATCAAAAACAAAGTAACTTGCCATGAGAATCAAAATTGAAGGAAACCGCTAACAGCGAGTAGACGTAACGGGATAGGAAACACTGTTTCGAGATCCTTATCAGAAATGAACAGAGCGATAGCATGGAAGAGGCATAAACGAATATCCAGATGATACAGTAATGATTTCTCAAAAAAAGGTGGGCAGTCAAACATGATAAATTAGAGTGGATAAGTTCATCGATTGAAGATAAACTGCACGAGCCGCTGAAAAAAAGATTAATTTTCAGACGAATCCGCATCTCTCTGTGGATAAGCACATCGTGTCGTTTTAGCAATCCTTTCGAGTGTGGAAGATCCTGAACATTTCAGAACGAACGCTATTATTCAATAAAGCCTAATTTGTTTAAAATTCTACGGAAAATCACAGACATTACGAATCTGGCTCAATGTGAACCCACAACTGCAATTATACCAAATTTCGCTAAGCAAAGGTACATCCACATTTGATATAATTAATATCATCTATCTAACCAAGTCTCGGTATAAATACAACAGAAACACGGCTTACGGGCATGAATCACATCCACAGCAATCTCTTGTTCGGCATTTGCACTTTCCATCAGACATATAGCTTCTCGAAAGTTCTGTATCTTTTGTTGGCATCGACGGACGCTTTCGCGCAATTTTTCATTGCTCTCTACCAGTGCAGCATTCTCTGAAACGATCAAGAAAAAATAATTTTCGGAAGGAAGGAAGTCGACAAACATTTTCTTCACTACAGACTAATGACAGAGCGAAACCGCTGAAACGGTTACGAGTAGCTTCTGGGCGCGCATCGTCTATATAGACTAAACACCATAACCAAACTATGAAATCAACCTGCGGAATAAGGTTACCCAATTAGAGCGCGAAACGAGAAATCTGCACCACGCTTCGAAATTTCTGTTGCTAGCCATCTTGTGAAATGACTGTTTATCATTTGAAAAGATGAGGCTCTTGATTCAAAAGCTACTTTCAAATCGACTACCCTCAGAAGGTTCAAGAAATGTCTTCATCACACTGATATCTAGGTGGAGTCACTCAGGAAGCAAATTGGTACCACTGCTCGTGAACTTTGACATCCTACTACTGCATCTAATGAGATGCCAAATCTGAGTGTATTTAGCACAGATTCTCCTACTTTGAAGTCCAGTTGGAAAGCAGTGCACGAACAAGAATTAAACAGACTAGTTGTAAAACCTGGCCGTTGTGGCTGAAGGCCTTGGAAAACAACTTTCTTAGACCGAAAACTATTTCCAAACCGATTCATCTCATGGGATCATGAAATTCATGGGATTCCGTAAACATCGAGAAAATTCAACATACAAGTTTTCGGACCAATAAAGAAAAAGGAGCTCCAAGTGAACTGACTCACACGAACTCATATATCGTACTTTGAAATGTTATTAATAGATCATACCTTTTTGTCCCTCTTCAATCTGATGTCTACGTTCAGCTATCTTCTGATGAAAAGTGCGAATGGGTTCTAAAAGGCACCAGCTTAGCCCTATCACTTCGAAGAATCAAATCATCCAATCACAGCAGAAGATTCAGGGACTAGGACCCTACCTCGTATTCTATTTGGGAGGTTTTGCATACGGTGAATCACGTTATTCGCATCGTTTTGGCTAAAATAAGCAGGACCAAATCAGTTAAGCAAAAATATCTTGATTACCAGTAAGTAGAGGCTATCAGTAAAAAAAAAAACTTTACATAGATGAAAACAGTGCAGCGCTCCTTTCCGAATTCTTCTCCAGGCCCTCCGAAGAAACCATTGCCTAATGAAAAAAGGTCTTTCTCACCGAATGAAACCTATGACAAAGCTAAATAATAGGGGAATCTGAAGAAACAAATCTTACCTCTACGTCTTGCAAAATCTCGTCAAATTCATCAGGTGTTACGGTCGGCGGCATGATCGATGATGGCGTCTCTTGCACAGAAAAGGAAAATGAATGCATAATTCTGAAAATTGCTTATTTGCTACGTTCGGACATCAACAAAACAAACTGTTTCTCTCGTTATCAGAGAAAGCTACATGAAGATCCCAACAGAAGTCATTATCATAGGCATCGCCACATTACATCGAGTATTCCTATAGTTTAGCCCCTACCCCATGAACGTGATTGATATTCACATAGTAGGATCTCTCGATTGACATGACCTCGCTGATCAGAATCAATTAGGGGCGTTTGACAACAAATACAAATAAAAATATAAAGCAGACGTATCGACAAATACAAACAAAATAAGGTAGCAGTTCTTCACTACTAAACGGCTTAGAACGGATCTAACCACCAAAGGTTCCTCCATGCAATAGTGAACCTTATAAACTAAATAGGGAGCAACATAGTGTCCAATTCACCCGCAGAACAAAGTAATAGAACATAGAAGAAATGAATTGAAGTTTCGAAGTTCCCGCTGTTCTCTAGCCAGGGTCTCGAGTGGAAAAAGCTACTGTAGGATGCAGTGACGTCACGGCCCCCACATGCCGTCGCGCTGCTTGGCGTGTTTTCGCAAACGCTATGCGTGACACTGGTTTTTATCTTCGGGGTTGCATCTCTTTCTCACTTTCTTACATCATCAATCCTTTTTGTTATTCGCTTTGTACGGGTGTCGTCATACTGTTAAGTACATGAAGTTGTTGATGTAATTTCAGATGTCGTTTCTAAGTGAATCTGAAGATGCCTCCGTTCCCACTATAACTACGCTCAAAATTCTTATTATTGGTGAAAGTGGAGTAGGAAAGTCGAGGTTTGCTTTTTAGCATGTTATAATTCCTTTGAAATCTATGGCGTCTTGGTGGAAGCTCCAGTTAATCTACTACTAATATTTCGTTTTATACAATTTTGCCACAAAAGTGGGGTGCTGTCTAGGTGTTAAGGGTGACAATAGGTTGTCGATTTCATAGCATAATTGTACAGTGGAACCCTCCTTTTGTTGCTCTAAGTTTGCTGCACTCGCACATCTATCATGTGAATTCTGTTGTTTAAAAAAGGTCATGATTTTTGGGACCAGCTAGAGAGCATTGACCAGAATGTTCCTAACTTTCCTTCCTTTTGACTCATTTTACTCAGAGTTACTAACATACTTGTTACTCTGTTTCCCAATGGACGTACCTTTGTTTGGCGTTGCAAGGCAATTAGTTGTTCGAACAAAATTCATTATCGATTAGATTGGGCTTGTTTAGGACGCTGGCTCAGGTTTTAGAATGTTGACAGCAGTTGATGCTGTTGACATCAAGTGCTTGTCAATGAAAGCAGCTTCAACTGAAGTGTGGATTAGCTACTTCATACATAGAAAATTGAGAGTTCTCAAATCATGAAACTAGCCCGGGAGTAAGCGAACTGAGTCTTTCATGTAGAAAACTTTTGTTCTTTTTCATTTTCTTTGTTACATGAATTACTAAATATCTCTATAGTTTTTAAAAAGGTCTGCTAAAAACATGTAAATATTTCTGAGTGAGAACATATCATCTTTTAGCCTTATGTTGCGCTTCGTCGATGACACGTTCGATCCAGAATTAGCTGCAACGATTGGTGAGTTATCATTTTCAATTCTCGACATTCTAACGCATTCTTTTCATTCAATATTTAGGAGTGGATTTTCGGGTTACTTCGATGAATGTTGACGGAAATCGAGTAAAGCTTGCCATTTGGGATACTGCTGGCCAGGAACGGTTCAGAACGCTAACACCAAGTTATTACCGAGGTGCTCAGGGTGTGATTTGTGGTACGCTTTTAGATGTCTAGGATTTCCCTTTTTTTTGCGGATGAACAACGTCTGTAATCTTTCCTAGTATTTAGTGTACGATGTAACGAGCAGAAGTTCTTTTGAAAATTTGGATCATTGGATGACAGAGGTGGAAACATATATAACAAAGGGAGATGCTGTGAAGATGCTAGTCGGGAACAAAATTGACATGGTATTTCATTGTTTTAATCTGCTTTATGTGTTCTGCTCTCATCAGAGGCTAAGGTTGGATTTCAGCCAAACCGCGAAGTTTCTCGGGAGGACGGTCTCAAATTTGCCAAGCGTCATCGTGCGTTATTCATAGAAGCAAGTGCAAAAACAAAAGAGGGTGTGCAGTGTGCTTTCGAGGAGCTTATTGAGAAGGTTCGTTTCTCTTCTAGGTCATTCCGTTTGTGTCTTCATGGATCGCAAAGCAGCGATCACTCGTGCTGCGCTATGTGTGTAGGAGTGTGCACTCGTAATAATCAGCTTTTTTACTGTTAAAAATGAACACGGTTTATTTGTTGTTTTCAGATCATACAAACACCTGGACTGTGGGAAAGCGATAGACCCGCTTTCCGCCTTGGTCAACCCTCGGCGAGCTCTAATGGATCATATTGTGGATGCTAATGTGTTCCGCAGAAGAAATCATTCCGAAATATTTTCAACTTGTACAGTATAATTACTAGTTTTGATGTTTTCTTGGCCGCTCTGCCCTTGAAAGAAGCCACTTTTATCGCCTCACCCTTAAGGCTATATGTAGAAGCCAAGATATCATTTGCATAGATAAGTTTGACAGATCTGTAAATATGTACTTTTATTTCTTTTGTTCATAGCACTGTGCCGTTTTATAACATAGACCGTGTAGGTGATATATGATGATCACTTAATAATCTTGTCCTTTCCTTCTCCCGGTTTAACGTTACCGATGCCTGAATTCACATTTTTTCGCTTTGAGGTTGCTATAATGTTAGCCATGTTCTCAGGAGTGTATGCTCTTCAAAAACTGTATCTATAAGCGTGATAAAAATGCGATTTATAGAGCAAGCTCTGATTTCTCGGGTAATCTCCGTTACGTTATCTCACCTTCGTGCCCATTAATATGATCGTGTATATTTAATCATATCGTTGATGGTATAACTTTTTTGTAGACAATGGATAATAACGAGGAGTTTGGGGTGGCTACTGAAGAGCAGGCTCGAATGGATGATATGAATAATTCCTACAAGGACAAGGAGAAAATCGATGACAAGGTAAAGCGATTTATCATTCATTGTGCTTTGCATCATAGATGCGCAAATGTCTTTGCATTTCATGAATAGATTAGGTTCCCGAGTAGTTCCCATTTGTTTATTGCATTAATGATGATGAGATCTGCTTGAAGGACAATGGAGCTCCTGGAGCCAATGGCGACGCATATCAAAAAGAAAACAAGGATGACAAATCAGATCGTGGAGATCGTGAAAAGGACCGCGACAGAGACCGTGAGGACCGCGATCGACATCGCGATCGCGACAGTCGTGACAGGGATCGTGATCGTGACCGCAAGAAGCATAAGAGAAGTAGAAGTCGCAGTCGTAGTCGCAGCAAAGATCGCGACCGTCGGCGCTCGTGAGTATGATCAAACATAACTTTAACACAAAATGAGCGATTGCAGCGGGTAACAAATTGTCATTCAGGAGAGAGCGAGAACGTGATCGTGGTCGCGATCGTGAACGTGAACGTGAATCAGCTCGTGTTGAGCCGAAGAAGAAGTATCGCTTTTGGGACATCCCACCAGTTGGATTTGAACATCTTACACCGAAGGAGTACAAGGCCCAACAAGGTACAATGATGTCTTAAATGAGTAGAATGCGAAATATTCCAACGTATTTATTAACTCTTTTTAGCTGCCGGTGCTATTCCTCGATCAAACATGCAAGCGGCCGTACCTGTTGTTGGACCATCAGTTACTTGTCAATCGCGCCGTCTTTATGTTGGTAACATTCCATTTGGTTGCAATGAGGAAGCTATGTTGGACTTCTTCAACCAGCAGGTAGGTGTAAATTCTGAAACAGTGTTGATATAACCCGGGACTGTTCACTGCCAAAAAAGAGTTACTAACTTCGGCTTTGAGGCTGTTTGGGTGGGTGTTGAAATAAATTCTGTAGAATTCAAAGCATTCGATTGGACGTGCATTCGATTTTAAATTGAACGTTGAATGCAGGCGTTCGATCAGATGCTCCGAAGTCTATAAACATTATCCGAGGTTCCATCAGCATCATTACATCTTCACATTACAATACAATACAGACTATAGAGTACAGAGGACGTTTGCGGAATATCATATTGCTAAGACTGGGTGCGTTGAATAAACAATCGCTTTTGTACGTTTGGATGTCACATTTTAGGAAAGCGCACAGGAGCTAAATGCCAGATGCTTCCGAGCACAGACCTTATCAGCGCTTGCTTATTAAAAGTAGGATTTGACTAATTTGGTCCTTTTTTTAACCGCGCTCGCTCATAGATTTGTATTGGAGCTGTTCTTTATTGTTTTTCAGGGTGTCTTTTATGTATTTATCTTGCCTAGGCGTTGTAACTTCGAATCAGTAAAAATTAGAATTCATCAAACATATTCTTGACCGAGTATGAGAATACTCAAGTTTCCCTCCAGATGTCATGCAAGCAACTTTCTTCTACTTTATTACTATGTTTCGGTAATTTCAGATGCACCTTTGTGGGTTAGCTCAGGCGCCAGGTAATCCTGTGCTTGCATGCCAAATAAATCTGGACAAGAATTTCGCATTCATCGAGTTCCGTTCAATTGACGAGACTACAGCAGGAATGGCATTTGATGGTGAGCGTTTATATCGATATCGAATATCGAATATATCAATAAGTCTTACAACTTATGCCTTCAGCTATAACTGTTAAGGTATCAACTTCATGGGGCAACAATTGAAAATCCGTCGTCCACGTGATTATCAACCTATCAGTGCGAGCTTTGACATGGCTTCAAGAATGCCAGGTTAGTCAGTACCAGTATACCGCTGCGTGAGCTTGATTCTCTGAAATACTGCTAGCCTCTTCTTATGCTTTCTTTTCAGTTTCCAATATTGTTGTTGACTCTCCGAACAAGATCTTCATCGGTGGCTTACCCACCTATCTTAACGAGGAGCAGGTACGTTGTTTTAATCAATATTCATTGGCTGTTTTTTATTTTGCTTGCGATACTTTTGAAATTTTACGCAGTACTTTTTTTGCGCGTGTATCAAAACATTATTCGTAGGCGTGCACTTTTCGCTCTATGCCTTCATTGATTAAGAATTTAGTATTGTTGTGGCAATTTCTGTTCTTGGGATGGCTACTAATGTGTTGAGCGTGTTTCAGCGCTCGACGCTGTGGCCCTCGTACTGCCACCTGTACATTCTCCACTTCGGATGACTCGAAAAAGCACCTCAAATGCATATCTGGATCCACTTTCGCAGCCACTCTTTTCAGAATTTTAGCCAGCCCGCCGAAAGCCACAGCCTTCTTTCTTTTCAGCTCTGGTTCTCTCTTTTAGGCTTTTTAGCGCAGCGCAAACCGTGTACGGGGGATGGTTGTGTGTTGAGTAGGCAGGTTGTTCGGTTTTAATCATTGTTAATCTCTTGCGATTGGCCAAGACTTAAACCATTTAGTTAGTATAGATTGCAACCTTTTTTGCACATGAGACCAAATTGTGTTTCAGGTGCAAAGTTTGGGGTGTAATCTCATTGATGAAGGCTCAAGTAAGTGCGTAATCCATTGTATTCCATGTTTAGGTGAAGGAGTTGCTGTGCTCGTTCGGACAGCTCAAAGCTTTCAACCTTGTTGTTGACTCCAGCGGAACGTCGAAAGGATTTGCGTTTGCTGAATATCTCGATACCACCCTCACTGATCAGGTTAGTTTACTGAGGTTTACGAGCTGCATTTAACCTTCTGGAACCTTGTGGAAATCCAATTGAAATTATCCACCGCTGGATGGGCAGAAGTGCAATATTTCAGGCTATCGCTGGGTTAAATGGCATGCAACTCGGAGACAAACAGCTTGTTGTACAGCTTGCTTGTGCCAATGCACGTAATGCGCAACCGGCTACACACTCAGCCACTGCGATTGCTGGTAAGTAACGTGCACCACCTCCTTCACTGCATATGATTGATTTTAGCTAGTGATTTCGTAGGCTTACATATTAAGCACAATGTTGAATACCACACATAGGAATAAGATTTCAAATAACGAATTCATACTCGATAATCTGTGTGCAAGCATCTCAAAATCGTGGTTTCAAAAATTAGCATTTTGCAGGTATTGATCTGTCTCAAGGTGCTGGTGTACCAACCGAAATACTTTGCTTGATGAACATGGTAGTTGAGGAAGAATTGAAAGACGATGAAGAGTATGAAGGTGAACTTTTCGATTTGTTGTTTGATTGACTTTCTAACTTCATTATTGTATCCCCGGAATTGTAGATATCCTGGAAGACATCAGAGAAGAGTGCTCGAAATATGGAATTGTCCGATCTTTGGAAGTGCCACGACCCATTCCTGGTGTAGAAGTTGCAGGAATAGGAAAGGTAAGAAACTCAATGGGACGTTTGGTGTTTACCTATCTTTTCCTGCTTCGCTGCGAGAGTATTCATCACTGGATGCACTTCTGCAGGTGTTTGTCGAATTCGCTTCATGTGCGGATTGTCAAAAAGCTCAAGCCGCTCTGACTGGACGAAAATTCGCCAACCGAACTGTTGTCACCTCTTACTACGATGTGGATAGATATCATCAAAGACAGTTTTAGTTATTGAGAACGCTTGACCATTTGATTTCTGTGCTCTTAACTGCGTTGCAAAAAGGATGCTTTTCTTGTGTCATTCTAATCCTCCAAATAAAAAATACATTAAGGTCAGTTTCTCCCTCTAATCACCCGGATTGTTAGTGCGAACGAGCTTGTCGTTTCGCCCTTAATTGCTTGTTGTATGATGTTCATCGTGTATTTGATATTGTTTCCATTAAAATTCCAAATGTGAACTCTGTAGAATTATAGAGGTCTGAATGATAACTGTGTTTTTCAAGCGTAATTACTGTTATATTAATAAATAAAATACGCAGCAATACATTCTGAAAGTTTTCTCGTTTATATTTTCGGTTTACTCCTGCCCACTCTCATTGTACCTGTTCTGTGCGTTCGATACATTCTAATGTTTAATCAGTGTACATCGAGGGGTCATATCATCGATACGTTTCTGTGAATAGTGTTGCTACGAATGCGAGCACAACTTCTGACGATTTCACATACATCACATCAGAATACAACATTTCGTTTTCTTTGTTTCTAAAAAGTGAGAAGTACAATTGATGTCAGTAAATCCTGTTCGGTCACAAATTACCTGATTGCGATGGTGCACTGTACTTAGGTATTGGTACAATCTTTTGTTGTACCTTTTTTGCCTGTTCTGGATCGGTATTCCCAGAGAAAGCCTCTGAGTTCTCTTCAGCAGCTGCTTGTGCTCTTTCGTTGTTGGAAGCTTCCTGTTTTGCTATCTCTATTTCTATTTTTACGCCAATCAAACTCATCAAGTTGCTGTTTTATATTTAAGACAATTTCGCGCAGGTAATGGAAAAAGAACTGCAGCTACTATTTTAAAAGGGTTTAGCCTATACTTGTCGGGTTTCGGGGACAACTAGTGTGCTTGAATACGAAGTTATCGCTCTTTTCTAACTCTCATTTCCTTTCCTAATACTGCTCTACGGGAGTAATCGATTTCTATATTTTCTGCATCTATCACAGCAGCACACATCTGCCACAGGTTTATCCGGTGAAAATGTAGTTGGGGGGGTGCCAGCGCCCTTTTGTGCTCTGCGTCCCTGACACAGGCGACAGAGTGCATGCAGGTCGCAGAGATGGATTCCTTCCCTTCTAAAAGTTAGGGGAGAAGCTCCGGGGTGGGAGAGATGATTATTTCGTGTGAAAAGCTGGGAAGGGGAAAGAATTGAACATCCAATTGGATCACCCATCCCGGAGCTCCTTCCCTAACTTCTAGAAGGAGAGGAGCTCCGGGATGTGTGAGATGATTAGATGGGTTAAGAAATGAAGAGACGCAGAGCACAAAAGGGCACTGGCACCCCCCAACTACATTTTCACCGGTTTATCCCTTGTTGCTATTTTACTCGATGTCGAAGGGT